GAGGCTTGATGCATCATTTATTTATCTAGGTAGTTTTACAAATCTATCGTGATATCTTTTGTAATTTTAATTAAAATCTTGTGACTTCTATTTGCAGGAGGATTAACCATTTAATTGTTCAATATAAAGGAAGCCTCGTGCTTGAATTGCAGCAAAGATCCATTGAATTCAATTCCATCATTGCAAGTCATCAGAATATGAGGTATCTATTAGTCTGATGTTGAACTTTTTCCCTTGAAATGAAATGGCTAAATTTCATTAAACGGAAGAATTTAACTTTATGCACCAATATTAGAATTTCGTAACTATTACAAAGCTGATGGGCGCACATTCTCAGGTCTACATTGGTTGAAAGGATGCCAGTTTTGGATGAGGCAACATTCATCGGAAAAAGGGCTGGTTCTATTCCAGCATCTGTATCGTCTTCTAATAGGGCTGCAATTAATCTTCCAAATGGGGTTTCCAAATCTGCTGCTCCTCTCGTTGATTTACTTGATTTAAGTTCTGATGAGGTTCCTGTGCCTAGCTCTTCTGGTAGTGATTTTATTCAGGATCTTCTTGGGCTTGACTTGTCTGCAGCTCCAGAGCAATCTGGTTAGTTTTGAAAGCATTCACGTATATCTATTTCCTTTCTGTTCAGGAAACTTCTTGACTTCTACTTTGCATCAAGCGGCTATCTTATTTTCCTTTATTTGACTTGTTTTTAGGACCTACAGACTACAATTTCGTTTTGTTATAAAAAGTAGGAGATGTAGGGGATATAATTGCCTTATCTGCCAAAAACTTGATATTAAATAATATTCAATGAGTATAGATGAAAACATAAAAAAGATCCAATTGAACCAAAGAATTAAAAGGAGGACGCTTACAGAACTCCTTTGAGCGAGAGTTCCCGCGAGATAGTAGGCATAACAATAACATCCCATAATTTCTAACATTCTTACCCTCCATTTTGGAACATTCTCTAATTCCTTAAGAACAGCTTCAACAGCATCAGCCAAAAAACTTTAGCTTTCTTTTGAAGAGAAACCATAAAGGCATGAAAGGGAATCTACTAACATTAGGAGGCATAATAAAAGTCTTTGAACAAGTGATTGATATCGGCTGAAGAACTCTTGCAAAGAAAACATCAATTAGGGTGGAGTGAGCAGCTGGCAGTTATTTTGCTGGATCCCATTGTTTTTTTAAAACAAGAAATGAGAGACTAATGCTGAAAACATATAAACTCCACAAGGGAGTGATAAAAGGAAAGTGAAAACAAGAAGATCTCAAAGGAAAGATAAGAGTATTCCAATTAAAGAAAAGTCAACAAAGAACTCGGAAAGAGAGCACTAGGAGGAGGTCTTCTGATGAGCTGGGACAAAATGATCAGAGGAAGAAAAAATATTACTTCAAAAAATTCGATGATTCTGAATGTGAGATACAGTGTGAAGGAAGCTTGTGATTAATAGCCGCATAGCAATTCAAAAGACCGTTGATCATGAACCAAAAAGTATCCCGTTGTTGGTATTATTACTTCCAACAGAGAGGGGCTAGAGAAACACTTGAGCTTTCTTAGATAGAGGCTTTGTAACCTAGGGAAAACTCCTCCTGATCCAATAAAAGCTGGAAGCTGGACTCAGTAGAAAAAGTCCAAATTCATCTCCCATACTACAGAAGATTCCAAATTGATTTCCCACCCAAATTCTCCTGTTCTTCCGACAGAGGACAAGGAGCTTTATACAAAATTCAACAGCTGCAGCTATGCTCTCCAACTCTAGGTCGTTCAGTCACACACCCAACCATTAAATTCATCGGTGAAAAGCAAGCACAACTACCAGTTCTCAACTCTAGTAGTTTTTTCTTTGTATGATTTTGCATTGCTAACAATATCTCGTCTCCATATATGAAGCAGTGTCAAACTTGCCTGTGATGCCTTAATTTTAAATATTTAATGAATATTCCTATCATTCGACAGATGTATTTCTAGTTATGAAATACTCCACGTGTTTATTACTAGTGTGTTTACTACTATTGTGTCGGGGAGAACTTTTATTTTGAATGTCCTAAAATTAGTCAATATTTTCTTCACGAACGGACTGATTGTTAACCCATTATTTGTTTGGAAAATTTTAATATTTGCAGGAAGTAATCCAGCTCCAAAAAGTGGAACTGATGTTCTATTGGATCTTTTGTCCATTGGAACAACCCCACCTCCACAGAATAGTGCATTTCCAGCAGACATATTATCCAATCAAGAAAAATTGCCCACTTCTCAATTGGATGGACTTTCTTCTCTTTCTCTTCTTCCAGCAAGCAAAGCTTCCGCTCCTGTATCTTCTTCTACAATTGATTTGTTGGGTGGATTGGCCCCTAACGTGGCAAGTTCAGGTGGTAAACTCGTCAATGGTACTTCGAATCCCTTTGGTTGGTATGAATTTTGTCGAGATTTTGATAGCTTTCTGTTTTTTGTCCAGACGAGAATGGTTCAGTTTATCCATCTATAGTTGCGTACGAGAGTGGATCTCTGAGAATAACTTTTGACTTCTCTAAGGCAGCTGGGAGCCCACAAACGACATTGATCCATGCCACATTTAAAAATTTATCTCCAAATGTCTATTCAAATTTCATTTTCCAGGCAGCAGTTCCGAAGGTAAAAAGTGATATCGAGTGACTAATCTAATTCACCATGCAGTTACTTTAGTAGTTAATTGTTAAGGTATTTCATTACTACTTTTGTTTTTCAGAAGATGAAGGGCTTCGAACAACCACATGTCATCTGTTCTCTATTTTTCCAATAAAAATTGAAGTGTTGGGTAAAAATTAAAATCTAAAGCAAAATTTTGAAATCTATATGTTCGCTGAGCTTTTGAATTTTGGATTTCAAAATGTAGAAAACACCAAGAAAAGATGGTTAACTAACAGAAAATAAAGAACAAAATGGTGCCATGAAATTGGCTCTACGTATTTTTTTACTCCCTTCTTTCATTTTTTAATTTTTACTCTTTAAGAAATGAAATCCAATTGCTTAGTCGTATTCCTCCTGTTTTATGGCTTTTAGTTCTTAGAAGATTATGATTGTGATGTCACCTTATATTGTAGAAATTCGCTCGATATGCCTCTTGAATTATATGTTATAGGGATGTCTAGCTATGATATTTTTTCCCTTTTTGTGACTGTCCTGTCCATATGTGCTTCTTGTTGTTGTCACATCCACATGCATGAATTAGAGTATTCAAATTAGTAGGGTTGTGCGAAGTTTATCATGGCTTAATCGGCTTACCTGATAGCTTCTTTAGTTTAATTATTTTTTTTAACAAATAGTTCTGACATTTGTTTGTGATTTCAAACAGTTTCTTCAACTGCATTTAGATCCAGCGAGTGGTAGTACTCTGCCTGGAAGTGGTAATGGGTCTATCACACAAAAGTTGAAAGTGACTAATAGCCAACATGGAAAGGTATCGTTCTTTTGCAACCTCGAAAATTCAGTTCTGAATCTTTAAGAATTTGTAGTGCTGCATTGCTGTTGAAGGATTTTCTCTGCATCTGTTTTATTTATTTTATTCCAAAAATCTTTCGTATAACTTTTTCGTTTGTTTATTTTTTGTGGGGAGGCTGATCAATATAAAAAATTCAACTTAGTACTTATTTATTTAGGATATAAAAGAACTGTGGCATAGATATGATTGCGTTTTATTCGAATAACCATAGGATTTTTGTAGGCATCTATCAATTTCTTACCAAAAAAAAATTGATGCTTGCTCTCGCTTCCCTTCTCAGAATAAATCTCTATACTGAATAATTTAGAATATTCTTATATTCAGAAACATCTTATGATGCGCCTAAGGATAGCATACAAGGTGGATGACAAAGATATGTTGGAGGAGGCTCAAGTCAATAATTTCCCTCGTAACTTATGATGTTGAACGGCTCAGAAAGTGTAAAAATGGTGTGATAAATTGGCCCTTATTCAGTCTTCATTTTGTTTTCATATCTTATTTTTCAATTCATCAACCAGAACGGTTTGATTTGCAGCGCATTGATGGTTGATTTTGCTCGCCTGGGATTTCTATAAAGCCAAAGACATCACTCTGGACCTCCATCTCCCTTGTTTCCGATTCTCTCTTCATACATAGTGGTTTTGTACATTATTTCAAGTTATTGTACGGGGATTTTGGTTATAAAATTTTTGTCTTCCATGAATAGGTGGGGGAGCTCCAGTGTTACATTTAAGGATTGGAGGTACTGTTCTTGCCACTTGTTTTGTTTTTTATTTTTTTAGTTTTTTTCTGTCTAGCATTATCTTTTCCAACCACAGTCACCAAGGTAAATGAACATGCCAAAACATTAAAAAGAAGGGAATTCAATTCGATTTGTTTAGCTCTCTTCTTTTCTTGTTGAAAGATAAGCTCTCATAATATTTTCATTTCCATGGTCGACTCTGTAAGCTTCTAGGCAATATTGGTGAGGGATTGTAATGTATTGTAATTCTCGAGTTGAAAGAGCTCTCACGTTTGTGACCCTTTTTCTCCTCTTCTTTCTCCCCTTAGTTCTTCAATATCATTTATGCTCAAAAGTGTTGTCTTTGTTTCGAATTCCTAGTTCATTAATTTAGAAATATCTCTGCACCAACTTTGTTTGTTTGGTAGAATAGCGCAATCACGGGATCATTTATGATCAAATTCTCCACGGAGCTACACCTCGATTCTCCCGTCCCGTGCATTTATATTTCAAGTAGTAGGTGAAATCTTGATCTTGAATCCACCAACAGCTGTGGGATTGAATATATTTGTACTTTTTTAAAGAAAAAGTTATTAATTAATTTCAAGGTTTGGTTGTCTGGCTTCTTTCTCTTCTCTTTTATTTAAGTTTGTGCCTTTCAATAATAAATGAAAAGGTCTGTCTATACCTGTCTATCTAAATCCTTTTCTTGTTAGATTCCATCGTATTTCATGTTACACATGACACGATATGAATTCAGATCCAGAAATGGAACAATGCATGTATAAATTTGTACGAACTCGAGAAACCGACGCCATCAATGGGTTAAGAATTAGTGGAACTTACTGAAAGAATAAGCATACAGGTACATCAACGGTGAAGCAATTGCACCAAATATGGCATTTTTCATATCACGGAGGCCTTGTTGGCTCAAACTCATTTAGTTAAAGGGAAGTTCACGGGCCAGTGGCATTCAAAGCAACAAAGAGCAATCAATAGAAAGAAATTGCTATTAATTAGTATAACCATATGATAAAGGCAGGCAGGCCTCGAAGATTCGTTTTTATTATCATTTTCCAAAGAACAAGGCCGTTGATATCTGATGCAGAAAGTACAGAACACAATGAGCACCTCAAAACTGAAGAGTACCTTGAGATTACCAGTCCCTGACACAACACCAGAACCTTAATTAGCTCGCAGCACATGGGTGTCTGCGCCACTTGGCTGTCGACCCTTCTTGGACCATAACCAGATCTTCGAAACAGAAAAGCTTTCATTTTTACTTCCAATCTTAATCTTCTTCCCTTCCGCATTATCATCATCAACTGAGCAATTCCCAGTTTGTGAATCTCTTAGATTGCTCGTACTTAATGCCACTTGCAATTCTGAATCAGCTACAATATACTGATAAGACCCCATTGAATAGCATCTTCTTGCACCCAAGCTGCTGCTACTGCTGGTTTCTCCTTCTCCTTTCTCCAAGCCTCTCACTCCTCCATTACTATTCAAGTTCCTAAACTTCCCAAGTCTGATTGAAAACACCCTCTTTTCACCATTAATGTCACTCTCTGGAGCTTTTTGAGCTGTAGGGATACTAATTCTTCTTCCATCCTCTGTAGATTCCTCTGTTTCTTCTGAATCTTCAAAACCATATACAGGGTTTTCAATGGCAAGTCCAGGTGAGTAAAGGGTCCCTCTACAAAGAGGGCACGTTGAGTTAGAAAGCAACCATGTGTCTATACAATCTATGTGAAAAGCATGACTGCAAGAAGGGAGCAATCTTAGCTTGTCTAGTTCTGAAAATTCACAAAGACATACAGCACAATCAAATGGCTCTTTTAATCCCACTATCTCTTTGTAAAGGAACACAGGGAGTGCATCTATGAAGGCTTGATCTAAACCCGAATCATGAAGATGGAAGAGCTGCTGTAGCTGTCTTTGGAAGGCAGATGAATCAGACATTTCCAGAAACCTATTACTATTGGATTCAGGAATTGATGATGGTGAAGATCTTTGCTTCACAAGTAATCTCACAAGCAAGTGAAGAAGACCAGAGATGAAAAAGAGAAGAGCTAGAATAACTATGACTAGAAGAACAGCAGGGCTTATCTTACTGCTAGAGGAACTGGGAAGAGCTGATTGTTTTTGGTAGTCGCTGTTATATGCCAATGAAGAAGAAGGTTGCAGAGGGGCAATGGAAGGACTAACCAGAATGTCCCTGGTTTGAGGATGAACAACAAATGACATTTTAAAATGCCAACATAATTAGCTCCCCACAACTATTTGAAAGCTTCCTAATATCAGTCGTCTTCCTCCTCGTTTTCCTCGAAACCAAAGCATCTCTTGCATTGAGGCTAACAAGGAATTGACACAAGTTACATATTGCACAGACAAGAAACCCAATTCATGTGTAAAAATTTGAAGGAAAAAAAGGGGGAAAGCAAGAACAATCAAAACCCTGAACTGAAATTGCAGTGAAAAATGAAAATGCTAGTCTATAAACAGAAATTTCTCACTACCCAGAACGCCTAAGCTTCAATTCATTATCAAATCAAACCCAGAAACTTGAAATTCCAAAGATTAAGAGCTCTCACAAGGTTTTGATTGCAATTTACCTACCTGGGTCATCGGGAAATCGACTAGAAATGAATCTGGCACTGCATTTGCCATACGATTCTGAGAGTTTCGACACAGAAGAGGATGCTTCAGTTCAAGAGGACCCCAACCTTCGAGGGTTTTAAATGCTGATGCTGATATACTTGAAATGGATGGTGTCGTAAGCGATTTTGTGGTGGCTCAAGGCCAAAACATTCGAACAACGACATGGGAACTGGAAAAGTGAAGAGGGAAGAAATGGGTCATTGAGGAAAGAGAAGCTGATTGCTGATTGAAGCCCTTGAATTGGTTTAACCTCGATGAACGGCCCAATTTGGCTCTGAAATCAAGTGCTTTGCTTCAGGCCCCCAGCCCCAGATGTGAAAAATGTTAGCAGCTACGAGGAGGAACGATGGGTCGGTGTTTAGTCGCCCGTTTGGGACATTGCATTGGGTATCCACCGACGTGGTTTAAGATTGGATTCTTCTCCCGTTTGGAATAGGAATTGGGCGAGACTGGGAATATAATTAAATCGGTCCAAACAAGGTCGGTTGTGAACGATTTTGAACTTTTTTTTTCCCTTTTTTTGGGTCAAATTATTTGAATTTAATATTTGATAATACACCTAACATTTTAATTTGGATTTGTAAATATTTTTCAAAAAATTAATAGGCTAGTTGAGGCAATTCTTCTCGGGATATAAGTTACTGATCTAATCTAAGAGTAGCTCGACTCGAGAAAAGAAATTTCTAGAGAATGGATTAGCGAATGAGATATAACACCATTAGAACTATGGTTCAACACCTGATATCTTTAACATTTCCTACATCCCGTGCATGATCACGTAACCTAATAGTCTTAAAGCGTTTCGAAAAGTAAAGATTATCTCCACAAAATAACACGTTTTTTTAGAATGTTTTATTTTCACTCACGTGCTTACTAGAATATTCCTAGAAGGTCACTCAATATAGAATGTTTCAAACCAAACCTATCTAATTTTGGAGTTATTATGATTGAAATGTATTCATGGTAATTTAGTGAAGTAAAACACAAATCCGTAGGTGATATTTTAACATTTTTATACTATATTAAAACCTAATTCGTTCAATAGCGTCATTGTATTGAATAATTTTATAGAAAACCCATAAATTTAAAACAAACACCGACTTACAAAATAAACTTCAAATTCAAGCTTTAACCGTCAATGAAAAAAACAAACAATTCAAGCTTTAACGGTGTCAATGAAAAAAACAAACAAACTTAGAGATGAAAGTGGTCATAGATCATCGAGAATTTATTTTTCATTCTTACCAATCGACGTGAAATTGAAGCTTACCAATTACTAAATTTTAAATAAATTTAAGCTAGAAGTCGATCACAGTCCAATTAATTATTTTTAACTTCGAAGAAATGAACAAAATTCTACACGATAATTCCGTAACCATTTCAACTATCTTCAATTAGCACAACTCAACTAGTTATTCACGAAAATTATGTTGCTACGAAATATAAAATAAAATAGAAAATTTAAAATTGATCAGCTACTTGGGGAAGAAGGCATTGGTAGTAGATATATATAGTGTCATGGAATATCTACACATACATACATACATACATACATCATCCCATATGTATGTATGTATGTCATGGCAAAACAGCCAATTAATTTTTTTTTTTCTTTAAAAAAAAAAAATCAATATTTAGAAAGTAGAGGGTCATAAATGTTGGTAAGTGCTTGCAAAACATCAACTTGAGACCTCAGTTGCATTATATAGTCCGCCGTTTGTAACAACAGACGGTCCGCCTTCAGCCCCCGCCCGCCGGGGATCAAGCGCTGCAGCCTCCTCATCCTCCTCTGCACAGCGCCGCCGTGCCGGATGCCGTGCCGGACGCCGCGCCTTCCCCTCCTCTGCCACTTCACCTTCCCAATTCCTTTGCTCTCCTTACACCAAACCCAACAATACTCCATTTTTTTGGAATATGAATCTGAATTTGTGTGTGTATATATATATATATAGTGAATTAATAATAATATAATAATAATATAATAATAATAAAAGGAGGCTGAGTTATTTTGTCGTTATGTAAGAATGGGTGGGGCCAAGGACGGTTGGCTTTGACGACCCACACACGTGTCTGACAGCTAGGTTCGGGTGCCCACGCCAACGCCAGCCACTTCTTGCTCTGTTTTCCTTCTGTCCTCGTAGTCCCCGAATCTCTGGATTCCCACACGTGTCCGGATACGATCACCTGAATCCAACGCTCCACATTCCACATCGTATTCATTTCTCCATTAATTGCTTATTTATGGATCCAGGCGAAAATTCAACGTGGGCCCCATGTTCCTGTGGAAGAAGTTGTTGGGAGCACATGTCTGGGCCGGGCCGGACCGGAACCAAGTTTTATCTTCCAGCCAGGTTTCTTGGATCAAATCGTTGGGCCATGGCCCACTCCCACTACTTCCCAACCTCCTCTTTCTCTCTCTTTTGCTTCTCCACCGTTGGATCTTCTTATTCTCTCGTGGGTCCCACTTCTTTTATTTTTTTTATTTTTAAAATTGTCAAAAACAAGATTACAATCAATCTCAATTTAATAATCCCATTTTCCAATCCTCAAATTTGTTAATAATTTATTATTACAAAATAAAATAAATGAGATTCGTCCCCTTTTGTACGTGTACTAGAGGGAGAGAACCTATCTGATATGAACTAAGAGACATCAATCATACAATATACTTCAATGAAGATGCGAAGAAAAGGTTGTCAAAATTATCAAAAGATGTTTCAATTTATGCTACATTGAAGAAGAATAAAGTTTGATTCTTGTAAATTTTGGGTGGGTTAAAAGTAATTTAGAGTTATTGTATTTTAAGACATTTTATTTACTTTATATAGGTTAAATAATATGAATGTTACAGAATGCCTTTCATTTTGAGGCTATATAAAGCCATGTATGTTATATTTGTGAGACTTGAAAAATATATTAAAAAAAGCATTTGTGCCTATGTAGTTTAGGTTGCATGTAGAATCATTCAAGCTCGACATGATCAATCTTGCTTGTGGAGTGATTCGAATCTCAATCAAGTGTTCTTGCGTTGAGATATTTGATCAACAAGAATCATTCAAGCTAGACATGATCGATCTTGCTTGTGGAGTGATTCGAATCTCAAACAATGTTCTTGCCTTGAGATATTCGATCAACAAGGTAATCCAAATCTTATTCCCCTTGTAGTTGATTCCTTATCATATCACTATCGTTGTCTTGTAATACTAAAGTTCTCTAAAAAAAAAAAAAAAAGTTCGAAATTAATACGAGAGTACTCAATTTTGAGTGGGCCCACTACTTTATACGCCTAATTACTTCATTAAAAACTTATATCTTACGTTCGTACATTATTATAGAATTGTAATGCCCTAGCCTGTGATTCAAATAAGAATTTGGAATCTAGATTCAACACCTAAAACATGGACGATATAAATGGGATCATAGCGATACTTTTCTCAATAAAATGTGATTCGAAGATGAACCAAAGTAGAAGCGGGAGGGGCATATGACACTCAAGTAAATGATGAGTATATTGATGAACCAAAACCACATTCGAAAGAGAGCGATCATGAGAATATGATGACTAAGAAATAATTGAAAATTACTACTTATACTAAGGATATGGACGTGAAACATTACAGAAATAGTGTATTGATCTTAGAACGAAAGGTGGTGGCTTGGTTGAGATGGCGTATAATATGATAAAATAATTGATATGGGTAGAAATGGTGAAAGAGGATGAAATAATAGAGGGGGACATAATCAGATGCTTCTTCTCATTAAATGCATAGATCATATAAAAAAAATTATAATATATAGTTTTGATTTATATGTATGAAAAAGAGAAAATATTGCATCAACCCATGTTCCCATGTCCTGATTTGGCAATCAAACATTCTAATGATTTAATATAAATTATTTGAAATATAATAATTATAAGTCACATCCTCAACTTATCTAATTAATTATTAATTATTATTTCAAATCAATTCATAGATTCTTTATCCTTCTCCAAACATTTTGGTCCTCTTAAATCATTCAACCCTTTATTTATATTAATTATTTTAAGAAAATTATTATAAAAAATTCAACCATTTTCTTATTCTTCATTTTTTTTTTTTAATTTAACATATTAAAAGAAAAAAGAATATATTTTTTTTGGACTTAAAGTTATATATCCATTGTCGGTTGATGGGAAAGCTACGAAAATATAAATTGATGACCGAAAATAATAATGGGTTACATGAATGATATAAAGGGATAGATGAGGGGAAAATATTGGAAGGACAAGGGAAAAACCAACGCATGTGAGCGGATTATAAAGACGATTCAAACACATCTACCATATAATAAAATAAAAAATCACATATATATATATATATATAAACAACACATGTCCGTGTACATACACATTAATGCTATTTATTATTCACATCCACTCGATCCCGAGATCGATTAGAATGGAAACAAACAATAATTTGGGTTGGAGTTTGGTAGGTTTAGGGTGGTTAATGTGGTGGGAGCTGAATGCACATGGTTGCACATGAGCACACGAATTGGCATTCAAAGTATAAGATACTCTCATGGCTGAAGCCATGGGGCTCATGCCCTTACCTTCAGGTAAAGCAATGGTTTGTGCTTTGTGGGCTGTCCCCCATTCTTCACTCCAACCTCATACCCCCTTTCCTCTCACTATTTTCACGCGTATTCAACATTTGATCAATATTTTATAGCGGTTTCTTCTAGATGATGCTATGAATTTTGTAGCATTAAGATGATGGGAGGGTCTTTCGATGCTACGCGGTTGCTATCACGATCGAGGACTTCAAACCTACGCAAAGAAAGAAAAGAAAAGAAAACTAATGGGTCGAGGCCTATTCATGAATTAGAATATCCATCCGTTAAACGTTACAACAAATAATTGATACGATAGCTAGCGAGTTGTAAAGTAAAAGTTGAAATCTTTTCAAATTCAATTAAATTGGTGTGTGCATTTACTTGAGATTGTGTTGGGCCAGAGAAGAGCCCATTTGCAAGCTGAGTTGGGCCATCAATTGGGCTTGCTATTGGAGCTGCCAAAGGCCCAATTCCTACCGTGAAAAACGGATAGATCCAAATATAAGCAAAGAAAAATAAACTATTTTTATTTATTAATAAATAATTATTTAATTTCATCAACCATACGCCTAATTAATTTTTAAATAGTTTTGCCTAATATTCTAAATTAAATATTTCAAATTTCATCTATAATAATTCAAGTCCATTGTTATTGTGAATCTCCAACTGATGTGGGATCTAGAATTTAATCTGAATATATGTTATATCAATTAAAAATATTCCTAAAAACGTGACATGTTTTAGAACATGTTTGGAAAATGAATTTTGAAGGATTAAATTCTTTTTTTCCTTATCCAAACATAAAATGTCAAGAAATAA